TATATATATATATGTATATGTGTATATATATACTGCATGGCATTAACAGCAGATTGGATATTACAGAAGAATAGTTTAGTGACCTGGAAGACACAACAATAGTAGAAACTATCCCAAGTGACATACAGAGAAGAAAAAAAGAATTTTAAAAAGTGAATAGGGAATCAGTAAGTTGTGGGACAATTACAAGAGACCTAATACACATGTAATTGGGATCTCTGAATGAGAGGAGAAAGAAGGAAGGATTTTTAAAAAATCTGAAATATCACTGAGAGTTAGGATATGACTCTTAAAATACAGCATAGTTGATCAGGCCAAGTTAATAGAAGTCTCACAGCAAGTTTAGAGAGATGTAAAACAGGTGTGGTAAACCAAGCAGAGACTAAAATTCATCTTGGAAGGAGCTAAGAGGATCTACAGCAAGACGTGGAAATCTAAGGCAAAATGGTCACAACTATAAGCACCAGTCTGCCATTGCCCCAGTGATATAAATAGAATAAAACAAAATTAGAGCATAAGTGAATTCTCAGGGTTAACCAAATAAGAGAAAGTTTGAAAAATTCGAAATAGATTCTTTTACCTTATAATTTACTTTTGATGCATCATAGAAATCGGCAGAGTGTGAAAACTGTTTACCTATCGTAATATTTGCATAGCTAAGGAAGGAAAATAAGTAGCGGTGACTTCGGGGTTTAGAAATTTTTGATTTAATTTTTAAAATTCAAAACAAGTTATATGTAAATATTAAAAATCTTACCCATATCCAGTTCCTTTCTTTCCTGGGCTTGTATATAAATTCTTTCCAGGCGGCTGATACTTTTCTCTAGGTTTTGGCTGAGCACTGAAGAATGGGACCGGACCACCTATTGTTCCATAGTAGCTTCCTAATCCACATCTTAAACACAATATTTTTAAAGTTTTTTAAAAGGACGAGGTTAAAATGGCAAATTTCATGTTATATATATTTTACAATAATTTTTAAAAGGATGAAAAAAGGAGAAAATATATGCAACAGAATTGACTTGTTTGGTAAGAAAAAATTTTTTATTAGTTTTTAATCTAATTTTATTTTCCTCATATGTTTTTAATATTTTATGCTTATTTTATTTTATTTTATTTTTTTAGAGTTCAGCTTTTTATCGAACATGTTATAAAAGAGATTTAGTCAAAAAGACCAAAGCCCATGTCATCATCGGACTCCTTAGATTCTTCCTACTTTGCTTCCACTTTCTTCTCAGCTGAGGCAGCAGCAGTGGAGGCACAGGACCTCTTCCGGTGCAGCGCCACCTGCTGGAGCAGGTGCGCCAGCCTCATGCTTATTTTAAATGTTCTACACAAACAGGACTTGATAATCTTTAGGAAGTTAGAACAGTTCCCATTAATTCCGTTGACTGTAACAATAAACAGACTTGTGTTTTTAGATGAATTTCTAGGCACGTTATGGTAATAAATGGCTAATTTCTTCTGACCATCTACTCAGTAGAAACTACACATTCAAAACATATATTTTAAACTATTGTTTCCACTGCTGATGGGAAAGTGAATCTCATAGAATATCAGTGCTTGTTTTCTTCTTTTTGGTATATACCTTGTTACTTTACTGTAGAAAAAAATTAACCAAACATATTCTTTTCTTCAACTTTATATATA